CTAATTCTCTGCATGCATGCTACACTTTTTAACTGGTTTTCAAGATGAACTTTCTTTTACCAAGTTTATAGTCATTTTTCTGATCAATAGCATTACTACCTTGTATGTCTCAGAAATAGTTTCTTCCTAATTGGATTTTCGATCAACGTTCACGCATAGATCTGGTCAGTCAGGAATATATGTTTGTTGATTGGTTTCTTCTTCCTTTCTTCTTTTGATGAGTGTGGGGATTTGGAGATGTTCCCAAATTGCCATAAAATAATTCAAATCCATGGTCGAGTTGGTGAACAAACATGTATCATGATGCATAGTGTATTATATGGGACATTCAATATACGTTCCAAATAGATGTCTTCATTATATAATAGATTATTGATCTAGATGGTGTGGGTCGACATTTGTAATACCCTATGTATGGACCTTGGGTGATTGGGTTTTAATATACACACAACTACGAAATAAGTAAGATGCTCATTTTTGTCCAGTGTTACAGTGACACAAGCTAAAATTTTGAAGCTGCAATATTGAACTAACTGATGAAATGGTATGTAGAAAAAAAAAGGGTAACTTAGGCAAGCATACAGTTGCTGCTTTACATTGTATGTTCACATTATCCCTGGCTTTACAGCAAAGCTTGGTAGTCATAGATTTTTTATCAGTGAATATTGAAATTGTCCCTTACTGATAAATAACAAAGAGGTCTAAATGATAAATCACTTATTTCTTGTTGTTAACCACCTTTCTATGGCCTGTAGTATGTACATGTTGAGCCAGTGTATTGACTCCTGAGCATGTCCTGATTTTTTTATTTGTGATGGTTACTGAATTGAACAATTAGCATTATATTCAGCTTCTCTATTTTAATAGGAAACTTTACTATGTCATCGATGCAGAATGTCTCCTCTTAAGTTTATGGGATGTTTTATATTTAGTTAAATTCTTTTAAAGTTTTGCTATCAACAATGCTTGTTGTGTAATAAACTCGACAAATTTTGCAAGTTTTAAGTTTGGTCAAAAGATTTAGATTCTGCATTGTAGTTGGGTTTTCATTTTAAGCAAAAAGAGAATAGCTTTTCAGTTTCTTGGTTTGGGGTTACTGCTTCTAGGACTTGCACATCTTTCTTGATTGTAGACTTTTGTCACTCTAGTCATTACTAATCATAATGTGTTGCAGATTGTTGGAAAAATTTTGCACAAAATGCCCACCCAGCATGGTCATGCACACGCATAGAGGACCATCCGGATTACCTAACGGAGGCAATTAAAGCAGCTGACTTTAATAGGTCCTGTTAAGGGCTCTGCAGAGCTCAGATTTTGATGGTAACTATGAGATTGGTTGTGAGATGAGTATATAATTTACAGGCATGACTGAGTATGCTTGTCAGAACGGTCGTATGATGTGGTGTGCAGATGTGTATGATGTTCTTGCTTATTGGAAGGGTTGAAGGAAAGCTCGTATTAGTTCCTTCTAACAGTAGTTGACTATCAGATGTCAACTACGATGAAACCCAGCTTCAAGCTCTCTCTCTGTTTGTCTGATTCCCTGGAATGATTGTACATTTCAAAAAATTTCCCTGCACAATTGACTGCAATAACTAGTGGCACATAATTTGCCTAGGATCTTCGGGAGTGCCTTCCAGGATAAAAATCAGCCTTATATAGTGTTCAACTATAATAGAAAAAACAATTGATGATATATGTTTAGCAAAAGAGTATAAGCTATTTGTTTTTGAACATTTGAAGTGTGGTTTATAAGGGCTAGAACTTGAGGTAAATTTTATTTGTTTATTTGTTGAAGGCTGATGGTGAATATTAATATCATTATGGAGTAAGTGATAATGCGTTAATGAACAAAATCACATAGTGGAAGTTGACCCTAAACTCCATACAGCATTGGTGTTGTTGATCTTATAAATTGGGTGCGCATGCTTTGTTGTTTTATAATTTTAACAAAAAATTTTAATAATTTTTGGAGTGAGTCGATGGAAGACCTTTGGCGATGTCCTTATTAAATTTATTTTTAAGCAAGAGTAGAGTTCTGTATTCTCTTCTTTTTTGAAAGAAGGAAGTTGACAATTTGTGGGTCATTTAATTGGTTGTAGGTTGTCGAAAGATACGATCTGCTAGCCATGCGAAACAAGGAACATTAATTATGTTAGGTTGTTCTTCCCAAGTTAATCATAAGTATAGATAGTTGGTTATATAGAAAAGGGTACCCTTTTTTTTTTTGTCTAATAGACAAGTTGTTGGAGGAAGTGGATATTGATGACACTGGCATGGGTGCAAGTTCAATTTTTATCATGGATGGAATATGGGTTTCTTGGTTGTCTAGACAAATCAAATATATTGTTTATCTAAGAAAATATATATCGGTGGGAAAGTAATTGAAACGTGAGAATAACATTTAAACATTGAAGGCTAGGTAAGGAAAGGAATTTGGGACTTGGATATCTTCCAGACTGTCTCCAAAATATTTTATCATTGTTCCACTCATCAACAGAAAGTGGCCACGTTTGGTGCACTTTCTGAATTCACACACATTAGACTGTCAAATGATATAAGAATGATAATATCACAAGGTTGAATAGAGTTCCAAATAGGAATGCTGCAGTGATTTTTGTGTTAGAAAGATAGGAAAAATTAGAGTAAGAAAGAAACATCGTAGGGCAATGATATAGATGAGAGTTAAGACCCGATGCTCCGATAAATAAACCAAGATACATCCTTATTTCTTTTACTTGTTAGTAATCCTTTTGGGAATGAACCCAAACAATTTCAGCTCAATATAGTATTCCAAGACTGCACGATGTCAGCTGGCATCATCTTTTTTCCTGGTTTTGACTGGTTGACTTACTATCTAAGAATTGACATCGCATTCCAATCAGTAAATGCATCTAATGCTTAGATCTCTAGATGAGTCAATAAAAAAAACTCTATTAATTGCACGGGCTTCTATTAATATCGGGTCTCGAGTTGGGCCAATGTAGGATGTGCTATCCCTTTAAGTAGAGCGACTCTATTGATGTGCAGTCACCTAGCTCACCCGGGAAGAAACAACGACTTATGTAGGGAAAAATAATAATAATTTAACCAAGTGACGACTAAACATAACATAACCAACGCTATTGTATTTTTACTGTGTCGACACTATCAAACGACGAAGTATCGCCATCGGGCATCGACTAAATGGATATGTGACAATTCATGCACTTGTCATATCTTTTCGCACTCCATTTCCACCGTGCTACGGTGATGATTTTTTTTTGTTTTTACACATATACCTTTTATCAATTTCACAATACTTTATTTATTTTAAAATTTAGATATAAAATAATTTATAGGTGAATATTTTTGAAATTTTTATTTTTATTAATTTATATTTTATATATATATATATATATATATATATATATATATATATAAAGATAAACGATGACATGAATTATCGTTATAAATATACATATAATTGGAATGTGACAGTTGTTATCGTTCTTTGTAACGGTTGCACGTGCTCATACTGATTCTCCACGTTATAGAGAGAATTCAGTTACGGTCATCCCGTATATTATATGTCGTTGTAGAGGGTAACACGATCAATTCATGACGATACCGTTATGTCACGTTGTCCGATGATGATTCTGTGTTCGTGATGTCTTTATGAAGACGGAGGAGGAGATTGTATTCCGTTACTGGATCGTTTCGAGCAACCCGGGCCTCGCTCTCATCGACCTGTGATACTAGACACTCCACTCCTATATATTCTCCTCTGTCCTCGTCGTCATATTTCTTGAAACGTCTCGTTTGTTCTGTGTCTTCGCTCTCTTGGAGCTATGCAGTTGCTTCCGAGTTGTTGTTGGTGATGTGATCCGTATCTTTACGCCAGGTGGCGTCCTTCGTGAGGTGAGCGGCACCGCGAGTCGAACATTTGCGCGAGGTAATACGTTCTTCGACCTTTCACATCTCGTCGGTTCCGACCGGCTCCCCCCGCGTGATTGGGTTCCACTGCGTCTCCGAGTGACGAAGGTAATCGGCGTAGCAACGGGTGATACAAGGACAGGTGGTAGACTTTTGGACACTGCCACGTGGACCTTTCACAAGGTATTGGTCATCGGTGCTTTGGTGAGATCCGACGGTAAGCGTATCATGTCGCATAAATTTTTCTTTACGGAACTTTGTATGCACCCACAGAGAAAATAGGAATCAGTGCCATTTAATACGCGAGAGGACCTCTCTCAGCCACGCATTGTCGCCTCCTCTACGCATTGTCTCCGAAAAAAGAGGGAGCGGCTTCGGAAGGGTAAAACCTTAATCTCATGTGAATTCTTCCTTGATTTCTGGAGATTTTTGTCTATTTTCATGTTTTCTTCGTTTATCTGGTTGCTGATCGTGTATCTGACCGGATCGATCGGGTCCTGTGTCTTCCATTTTGGTATTTTCGAGTCGCTTTAAAGATATTTTCAAGTGTTTTCTCTACTAAATTATGGATCGGTGTGATCTTTGATTAAGCAATCTGTTAGACAGACATCTGTCCTTGTTTCCAGATCGGTATCATTCTCGTCTTTTTTGTGTTCATTTTTTGATCGATCTAGCGCTGGGAATCTTGTTTTAGAGACGGATATGGTGGGTATAAGGATTGGTTGTTTAGATCAGGTAGATCTGCAACGGTTTTACGGGTGGCCTTGTTCTATATGCTTGATTTTCTTTGCTGACCGTTGTATGCACCCTAAGAAAAAAGAGGAATCACTGCCATTTAATTTCATCCCGTTCTTGCGTTTCTGTCGCCTCTCTCCTTTGTCTCCGAAAAAAGAGGGTGCCGCTTCGGAAGGGTAAAACCTTAATCTCATGTGAATTCTTCCTTGATTTCTGGAGATCTTTGTCTATTTTCATGTTTCCTTCGTTTATCTGGTTGTACCTGAGCGGATCGATCGAGTCCTGTGTCTATCATTTTGCTATTTTCGAGTCGATTTGAAGACATTTACATGTGTTTTCTCTACTAAATTATGGATCGGTGTGATCTTTGATCAAGCAATCCGTTAGACAGATATCTGTTCTTGTTTCCAGATCGGTATCATTCTCTTCTTTTTGGTGTTTATTTTTTGATCGATCTAGCGCTGGGAATCTTGTTTTAGAGACGGATATGGTGGGTATAAGCGTTGGCTGTTTGTAGTGGAAACCGTTAGATCAGGTAGATCTGCAATGGTTTTAGGGGCGGCCTTGTTCTTTACGCTTGATTTAGTATATTAATCGCATCTGATCTCCTTTTTTATAAGGATTGTAGGCTGTTTCAGGGTTCTGGTTTGCAAATTTGGTCCTTGATAGCTTTTGAGGTGGTAGACATCTCAGATTTGCTTGGGGATTTTACAACTTGGAGCTTGTAGCTTCTCTAATCATGATATGTTTATTGATCTATGACTTGCAGTTTTTTATGTGGCTAAATTTATAGTACATAGACTTGGCACCGATAATGCTGTAGTTATTTACTTCTAAAATCAAGTATTTGTTTTGATGTGGAGTAGCGTGGTTTATATATATATTTGCTCTCTTTTACAAGTTATTTAAACTATTCCATTGGAGATCGTCCATTTTATTTATAGAAACCCATGGTGGTCAGGTTTATGATCTATGAAGCTCTGTATTTTGTGTGATGAAACTTTAAGGTTAATTTTTACCGTTGAAATTGTTAACTGTTGTATTTTATATTCTTGGTCATCTGCAATTCTTCATGATGAGGTATTTAATTTGGTAAACGTTTCATTTGTTTGTGGCTGTTTGCTTTCTTCTCTTCGTGTATTGATTGTTTACTGTATTTTATGTGATTCTTTATAGCACAAATGTCTGCACATTTCCTTTATATAAAAGTACCAGCCTTGTAGGTTGTTCATAAAAATTGTTCAGTTTTGCAATTCTCATGACAATATCCCAATTATCACATTTTTTTTAATCTCATAATCTTAAACATTAATGCCTCTTTTTTAGTCTATTTTTAGTTAATTATGGTATGGTCAGACAAAACTACTTGTATACAGTTAAAACTTCAGTATAAGAGGAAAAATATATTTTCAGGGTTTTTTCTTTTTCTGATTGTTTCCTATCCTCCGACAATCCATTTGTTAGGATTTTCTGGGTATTCACACAATGCTAATATTATAGAAAAAGTACTACTTTACAGTTAGGATTAAATTTAGATTAGGGATTTGGAAAAGGTTGGGAGGATGAAAAGGAGGCACAAAGATCTGTTAAGCTTTCTATTAATATGGTTTCCATGAGGTAAAAGGATACAACATCTAATGTTGAAGTATTATTCAGGATAAAGGAACACTTAATTTGTCATTGTGGTTAATGAAGTTCCAAAATCAACTGTTGTTTAGTGTTTTAAGGATTAATGTATATATATATATATATATATATATATTTCAATCTCACATCTTCTAACACTCTTTCTCACAAATTCTCTTGATCAATATCAATGAAAATCGTTCGGAACATGCTGCAAAGCTGCTAATCAACGTTCAGAAAAGATAAATCCATTATCCCTGCCTTGTTAGGATATTTTTTATTTAAATAGAACTAAATTTGCATTTAGTTCTAACTTAAATATCCTCAATTAGGTTTTTTCCTGATTTGTATATATTTTCTGAGATTTTTTGGGCACTTTGTGGAACTGTCAACATGTCCTGATGTATCGTGTATCGTTATGTCAGCACAGATTGGTACATTCCGGACTGGCCAAAGACCAGCACTGTCAGTCAGTATGAAATTGCAGTCCTTGGATTTAACAAACATTACCAGGATATAATTAATTGGAGTGCTTCACATCTTTGTGGCGTGTACCTTGTTACATCTTTTATTATTCTGTCACTATTTATTTGTTGGGGATGATATTATGTATATTACCTTGTCGATGATCCCTGTTGGGTATTCATTGTTGCATTTTTAGCTTCATTTGTTCAGATCAAGGTTCGCCGTACCGTACCGTACCGGCGTTTCGACTCGGACTCGGTACCGGTACGGTACGGTATACCGCTCGGTACGGGCGGACCGGTACAGGGCAGTCCGCGTACCGCTAGCCTGTCGGACCGGTACATACCGCCCGTACCGGGCGGTACAGTCCGGTACGGCAAACCTTGGTTCAGACCTCTAAAGATATCTACCTTTTTATCCATATGAGTTATAAATTAATAGAGATGCATGAAGCCTACACAAAAATTGTCAGCTGCATCTTCAATGACCCATTGAGTTGAAGAATACAAAGATAGCAAAGCTGCAGCACTAGTTGCATCAGAGTTTTGTAAAGGATGAATTAGTAAATAGCCTTCATGTCTCATAATGTTAACGTTATCATGAAGTTCACTTGGAACTAACAGTAGAGTTGTACTGGAAGAACTGTTTTCTTTTATGATGATTTGTTCCTCCCAATTTTGTTCATGCTTTTACTTGACGTGGCATGTACCTTCATCATCCTGCTCTAGCATTGACATGCTGCTGCATGTAATATGGTGCAATGGCTATGATGGCTGGTGCAGTCTCAAAATTTCTCAAACTATATTTGTGTATATGCCTTTGTGCTAGTATACCATTGGTTTGAACATGTCAGCATGCTAGCATACCAATGGTTTGAACTTTGAACATGTCAACTAACATAGGTTTCAATGGATGAGATTGTCTATCTATAATTTTGTTTTAATTGTGATGCATGACAATTGATTGCTATGATCCTACTTGATGCAATTACAGATAACAAAGGCCATATGGTCTCAAGGAAACTCAAAATAATGGCCGTATGCCATGGAGAAACTCAAATTTTCATAAAGAAGAAGATCATAATCCCATACTGTATTGACTACTGTTATTAGGCTTCCATTTATTATGTTATGCTAACAAAAATACTTATATAGCAAAAGAAAGAAAATAAAAGTAACAATCATTTAATTTTGTTACATTTTCTCTTCCTTCCTTTTCCTAGTCATATAATGTTAATATTCTGTCATATAAATTCTAATTTGATTCTCCGTTGTTGCCATTATGTAACTTGGTTCTTGTATTGTTATTACAATCCCTTAATATTTTACGTAGGAAACATCAGTATCCTGATCTAACTAAAATTTATACAAATCTGATAAAAAAAATCATTTCCTTGTATTCTAATAAAATAACATCGTGAACACTTAGAAAATAGAAAAAACCTATGACTCAAAATTTAACCCATATTGTATTTAGAAAATACAGCAAATTCATAAAATTTAAGCCTAACACTTCTTGATGCAACCTGGACATAATTAGAATCAGTTAGTATTTCGGCTCACACCGATTGTCACTTTGAGAGGCTAATCATGATGTATAGTTTTTCTTAAAAAAGCAAGTTTCTATTCTGGTTTGCATTGTGTAATCCCATGGTTTTTTAAGATCATCCTTTTTTTTATCACTGAAACATCATGGATAATTAATTTAGCAAGTCAGCTTGCTGAATTGTTGCAGCATACTAGTGATGCATCCATCTATTTATTTGCATGCATATATGTGGTATCAATTTGATGCATATGCATGCATAACAATATGATGCATTTCTTGGGTAAACGTAAGCTAATAGTTGGAACAGAATGACTAAGTGTACTGAAGGAATTAATTTTCTCTTGTTTGACAAAAATTGAGGACCATAAGTTAAATCAGCCTGCAAATATATTTGTTCAGATTGTTGATTCACTTTTTCCAATTTCATTGTCTTATTCTGGTGGCACCAGAATATCTAGTGCTACTTGAGGAGGTGTTTAAAGAGTAGGATTTAAGAGTTCACTATTCCTTGTCTTTTTGATATATTTGATTCAATCAAATACCGGGATATCTAATTATTACATTTTTTATGTCCTCTAATGTACATTGTTTGTTCATCTGACTTCTCTCTAACTCACTACTTTAGACGTGTTGATTCTTTGAAGGAATATTACAAGTTGGTTATTGCTTATGCTCTGAGTTCATATGGCAGTGACTATGTTATATTTATCTTAGTAATGTTGCTTGAATCTTGGAAATCTTTTCCAGAGCCTAATAGTTATTGTTGTGTAGGTTATTTTATCGGCACACCATGGCAGATCAAGTTAATCACCCAACAGTAATGCAGAAAGTTGCTGGCCAACTGCATCTGAGGTCCAGCTTTTCTCGAGATCCACAAGCTTTGAACTGCAGCCTGTATAGCCCCTCTTTGTATCAGAGATGCTTCACAACAGTAAACTGCACAAATGGGGGATTTCAGAATCCGTCAATGGCAGTTTACAGTGGTACCTATGAGCTACCCATTGTAACATCTGTCTCACCTGGTTTTGCCCATGCTCCTGCGGAGAAAGGCTTTGCAGGCTTTGCTATTGATTTCCTCATGGGGGGGGTTTCTGCTGCGGTCTCCAAGACGGCTGCTGCTCCTATTGAGCGTGTGAAACTTCTGATACAAAATCAGGATGAGATGATCAAGGCTGGGCGCCTCTCTGAGCCTTACAAAGGAATATCAGACTGCTTTTCCCGAACAATTAAAGATGAAGGTGTTTTGTCTCTGTGGAGAGGGAACACAGCCAATGTCATTCGTTACTTTCCCACTCAGGTAGACTTATATGTGGTTGTGTTACATATTTACGCAATTTAACCCCAAACATTTGTTCATATAAAAATTACCATAAAGGTGCATACAACTGGTGAATTTAAGTTTGCATCTGCTTCTTAAGGTGTCTGGTCATTAGCAGGCTGGTTTTGGCTCGGTTTTTTATGGCCTTGTAACTACTTTGTTATTGCTTTTTTTCTCTCAGAATTTCTTCTTGCTGTGTCATTATACATTTCTCTTCTAACATTCTTGTCACTGTAGTTGATATTTGTCTGAAGTATCAAAAAGATGATATAGCAAGCATAAGTCTTCATTAACTGTGATTTCAATGTAACTGCCTTACATATTGATCTGTAAGTTTGTCAGCATAGCGGTGGTGACTAAAATTGCTGAATCTGTGTGTAACCATCAAACTTCATGCTGCTTGGTTATGGCTTTTGATGCAAGTCCTACCTCCTCAACCAGTTGTTACAATGTGTCATTGGAACATCAGTCAGTTGAATTAGTCAGTTATAATTTGTACATAAGAGAATGTATAATTTGTCTAGTCAGATTATAATCTATGAAACAAATGGCAATATGTAGAAATTGATTTATTGTTTCACTTTCTGGTATAAAAATTATCTTTCTTACCATCATGTGTATTGTGCTTTTCTATTGCTTTAGTTCTACTTACCAAAGGGTTTATTGCTTCCAGGCTCTGAACTTTGCCTTTAAGGATTACTTCAAGAGGATGTTTAATTTTAAGAAAGACAAGGATGGATACTGGAAATGGTTTGGTGGCAATCTTGCTTCGGGTGGTGCTGCTGGTGCTTGTTCCTTGCTTTTTGTATACTCTCTAGACTATGCTCGTACGCGTTTGGCAAATGATGCAAAGGCCGCGAAGAAGGGTGGGGGAAGGCAATTTAATGGTCTTGTTGATGTTTACCGGAAGACCCTGAAGTCCGATGGCATTGCTGGACTCTACAGAGGATTTAATATTTCATGCGTTGGGATTATAGTGTATCGTGGTCTTTACTTTGGAATGTACGACTCTTTGAAGCCAGTACTCCTCACTGGAAGCCTGCAGGTAAATCTTGGCCTTGTGTGCAAATTCTACTTGCTTCATATTCTATCTTTCGGTGAAATATTAGATGTACCTTTTTTTCGAAACTTGGTTCCTAAATTTTATAAGATAATCTTTAATACAGGTAATACACGGCCTTACTTTTCAGAAATGTAGATATAGCAGTTGGAGTAGACATTTTTTACTTTAAGATATGTTATTCTCTGTTGCAATGGATTTTTTACTTTTTAACTATTTATCAAACTGATTGCAGGATAGTTTCTTTGCGAGCTTTGCCTTGGGTTGGTTGATCACCAATGGAGCTGGCCTTGCATCTTATCCTATTGACACGGTAAGGAGAAGAATGATGATGACCTCCGGAGAAGCTGTCAAGTACAAGAGCTCTCTGGACGCTTTCTCCCAAATTCTGAAGAACGAGGGAGCCAAGTCCCTGTTCAAGGGTGCTGGTGCAAACATCCTCCGTGCTATAGCTGGTGCCGGTGTGCTTGCTGGTTACGACAAGCTGCAGCTGATTGTCTTTGGGAAGAAATACGGCTCTGGTGGTGCTTAAGGATGCATCGTCATTTTTTCTCATATGATGACGATTTTTATTTCAGTATACATGCATCTCCGTGCGAGAAATTCTTGGACGTCAATAATTTTTGGTAGTGGGAGATCCTCCCTACAATTTTCGGGTGGAGTTCTGTTCTCCGAAACCTTGATTAGCCTATTATGATTATTAGATACTGCTTTCGTGAAGTTGCGATGACGGCGGAGTGATGATGTCTGTACTCTCCAAAGCTTTTCCTTGTTAAGAGATAACTAATCTGTCACTTTTCTACATCTTGTTATTTGTCTTCACTGCAGTTTGTTATGATATTGGGAGCTGGATAATTAGATATGTGAAACAAAACAATAGTTAGTTGTCGCCAGGAGTCGTATATTTTTATGCAAACAATGTGAAACAAAACACTATATAGCGGCTTGCAGTGGTGTTTTGGGGAATTGATCAAGACAGATCCATTTCCTCATACAATTACCATAAAGGTGCATAGAACTGGTGAATTTAAGTTTGCATCTGCTTCTTAAATTGCATAAGTATGTAACACAACCACATATAAGTCTACCTGAGTGGGAAAGTAATTAATATGAATATTCTATTTTTATATGAATCTTCTATTTCTGTAGAACATAATATTTTAATTAAATTAAAAGTAATTAATTTTTCTGTTTGCAATTTGAGGAAAACAACTCTGAGACCATAGTGATGATGATACAGCAGTGATGTGAATTAGACAGGTAATGAGTTATGAAGATACAATCACATAAAATGGATTCTTAGTACTCTGCAAAGTCAGTATGTATTTGTGAGAAAAGATCATCTAAGAAAGCAACCGTGCGCACAAACAGACTTTTACTAGAAAAGCTAGATAGTATCACTACTCTGAGCTTTGCATTGTTTCCTTAAGCCCACCGCTCCAATGAACTGTTGGTTTAAGAGCTTTGCTTCATAGCGACGACACAAACACCGACCAAAATACAGATGCATACACTGCTACTAGCTGGACCTTTCATATAATTTATGATAAAAGCCCTCCAACAAGTCAAACTGATCTCTGACTAGTAGTATTTGACGTTGGTGTGTTCACTGCTTGAGATGTTGCTAGTCGGGCGTGCTATCTTGCATACAGAGATGCCTTTGGGCAATATTAAATCCATAAAGAATCTGATCAAAACAGAATAATTGTGCATATGCAGATTCAACACGATGACATATGACAGGAACATGCTCACCGTCGAAATGCATTGCTCTCATGGGCTGCTGAGCTTCCCTGCGAGTAGTAAGCACGACGACGGACACTCTCTTCTATCGTAGCACTCCCTCCCTTTTCAGCTCCATATATGCTATTTTGGGCAGCAACCAAAAAATTCTTGCCTCTTGAAAAGCTTGCCCTCATTGCTTCTTGGGCATCAGCCTCCGTTGCTCTCTTCAACCGCTTCATCCTTTGCTCCTCGTGGAGTTCTGCATCCAGTTGCATCTCTCTTAGCCGAGCTGCTCTCTCTTCCTCCGACATCTTTGGTACAACCCGACGACGGTTATATCCAGGTTGTTCTCTTTGCCTGTTGGTTTCCCTGTTCTTGTCTTCCATGCCAAGCTCAGAATCAGTATGATGTTGTTCAGATGCAGAATAATTAGACCTTGTACCATCTTTCTCGTGAGTGTATCTCGAATGCCTTTTCTTTTCTTTCTTATCTTGCTTCTTCTTTTTCTCATCTTCTACCTGTAAAATTGAAAAGATTAGTGATTCAATTGAAGATGTGGTATGCTTATAATTCGAACAACAATTCTTCGTTTGTATTCTTAAGCCACATAATCATTTGAGAGACACAGGAAAGAAAAAATAATTTTTAATAGTAAGAAACTTATAAAATATTGATTCTCTGACTTGGGAGGTTCAGTTTGCTGACAGCCTGATACGGAAACAAAGAACAGTGATTCATGAAAAAAGTTAATCTATCAAATAATGGCATGGAACTAAAAGGATGAAAGGGTTTTTGGCCACAGCTTGCCATCATTTGAGCAAACTGTGGTGATTTTGGCAAACGCATTAGCACAAAACCAAGCACAGGAAGGTGTAATTTAATAAAAGAGTCCAACAAAATTTTGAGATCTGATAATTGTAACTATGCAGATTATTTAGAGAAGAAACATGTTTATGGACATTCTAGCATCCAT